ATATATATATATGCACAAATATTACCATAATCTTACCTGTAAAAGTTATTGTCAAATGATCTGGCTTGATTGCGCCACGTCCAATATGGCGGCGACGTGGACGTACGATGCAGCGTGGGATACCGGCCGCAGCTTTTAGGATATAGAATTAGTGTTAGGTATAAAGTTAGTGTTCACAATATTTACAAACTGAACAGAACGCAACCACGTCGCTGTGTTAATGTCAAAAAAAAAATGCGGAAGTGTGCGTGCACGCAGGCTCCATAGCTCAGTGGTTAGAGCACTGGTCTTGTAAACCAGGGGTCGCGAGTTCGATCCTCGCTGGGGCCTCTCGTTTTTCCTTTCTGTTTTCCCACTTGTCTGGTGCATCCATTTTCTGTACACGTTTATTCCTGTCAGGGTCACGTGGGTGACCGGCGACGTTCATGCTGAGAGGCATCAGCTATACATAAATAATTATTTAAATGAGCCACTTATGTCATATTTGTTATATTTAGCTCTCAAGACAGTCAAATTATGTAGCTTTTGGGAATCATTGCCATATGATAGCTTTCTTTTTCTGTTTTTGTTTTAAACTGACTGCTTTTCTTGAATGTATCTTTTACTTCTGTGAGGTATTGCAGGTAATTTCTATCCCTATGTAGTTTTTAAAAGCTTCCCATCTAATACTCACCATGGTTTAATCTTTGTTATATTCAAAATATGCATTGATGCAGTTGGACAGTGCATAACTCCAGAGATAACGATTTGTGAACTGTATTTGAAAAAGGTAAGTTTTATTTTCCAAGCACACCTGGTCATTAATCATCTTCTTCATGTTGGCCACCAGGTGGCAGTGTCGGTTCATTTAACCATGAACTCTGACCCTGAGCGTCCACTGTGAGGTTCAAAACAGAGAGAACTTCAGGTTCTAATATGAAATCATTATATTAATCATTAYATTCTGATTRTAACCCTGTTTGATGCTTCTTTTCAACAGGACTGCATATTTTCTTCCCTATTAAAGAGTTTTAAAGCCTTCAATCCAGTGTGGCACATTTACATTATGAATGTTTTTCTTATCTGTGGTAAACTTCCTTAAATGTTTCCCAAAATGGTTAGGTTCTGCACAGCATAATCTGAAACCATCCACATAAAAGTCTCCAAATCACATCAATAAAACACCTTCCTATCTGACTTATAGAGTTTTTTARGACTGAAAGGCTAACCATTCTTTGGCAGGAAGTGGAAAGGCATTATGTAAAACGAACCCCCCTCTCAGCCCGTTCTGAAAATCAAACTCAGATGTGCTTCTTCTCTTCTCGTTTGTCACGGTAATCCTCAGTTCAGCCGTGCGTTTTCTTCTGTGGGTCACTTGAGCAAGTTAGCACGTAAGCAAGAAAATAAAGATGAAAAGGCCTCGAGTGATTTGTGGCAATTAGTGTTCGCCGGTGGCCTCGTCTGCAGCCGTCTTTGATCGGAATCCTCCATAAACTCAGTCAACAATGGAAAAACATGACCTTTCTCTACACAAACCAACACTTTTCTCTGTCCTCCCCACGTTGCCTTCACGTGGTTCAGCTTTGTTTCTTATTGCGCTTCAACAAGAAAAAGAAAAACGTGTCTATTCATGCAGGCACGTCGCTCCACTGACCCCGTAAAAACTGGATAAACACGGTAACTCAGAGCCGAGATAACGAAGAAAAGCAGCAGGCCGTCTGAGCGAGTGTTCAGATGTGGCTTCATGACGAAAGACAAAAGCGACGACCTTAAAGTTTTGCTGCCGCTGCACAACCAGGTGCGTTGATAACCTCCTGAGAAAACAAGGTTTTATTAAGTAAACASCCCTGAAGACAATAAGCTGAACCTTCAGCGCACATCGTTCGGCTGCGAGACCTCAGCCCTCGGCGTGGGAATACAATGGAGGGTCAACACAGGAGGTCGGCATCCTCTAATGAGGGTCTTTCTCCCTGTAGATTCAAGATACATCTTTTTCACACCGCTTGTCCAAGGTGGGACACCTTTGGGAGATACGGACAGAGCTACACAACGTGTTTAAGATTTAATCAAAGCCTAAACACGAGACTCTGTTATTGGTTAGTTCATGCAGGAGAAGGCGCTCAGTTTGTGTCCGGATCAACAGAAATGTGTGCCTCCTCGGGGGCCGGTTGGCTCTGATTTTAGGGTCAGTTTTTGATGAATGGTGGCTTTGAGCGCTGCCAGCAGCTCATGACATGGTTGGATAACCTGTCGGAGAGGAAAGAAAACAACTTTTCATTACAGACGGTTCCCTGTTCTAAATCTTACCACCGCTCAGGTGTTTCTTTTAGTTTTTTTTTTCTAGTGTGTGTTTTATGTTTCTCCGTGCTCCTCGGTTGAAATGCTCTACATGGAGTGTGTCGAGATGTTATGGGTCCTTGTCGATGTGGCTTCCAGTGGCGCTTTTGGCTCTCAGATACCAAAGTCAACAGTGATAGTCGATCAGCTCCCAGCAGACAAATATATCAGTACCCTCTGTTTTTACATTTAGAGGCCTAATTCTTTGACACTTTCACTGTTTTGTTTTTACTATGACACAAGTTTGAGCTAATATTTTATGAACAAATCATGCTACAAGAATAAATCACGTGTCTAGTCTGACAAACTCTAAGAGTAACACGTCTAATACAGAAAGGTGCATTAATGGAATTATGTTAGCATAATAATAATTTTTGATGTARCATTTCAAAATAATGGCGCTCCCAATACTGACATTCTACAATWATGGTTCCMCTAACTTGCTGTCTTTATTGCAACTAAACAGCTAAAAGACTGGTCTGACTTCAGACTGACTCTAAGACCTCCAGATGTTCCTCAACAATTCTGAGCTATCTGATGTAGCATTTCAAAATAATGGCACTCCCATTTTAATGTATTTATTTATTTTATTTTATGTTTTTTCTGTGTGTACCAAAAAATAGTGGTGGGGTGGCGCCTTTGCGCCCCATATTGACCAGCCGCCACTGACTCTGGGCAGGCATTTGATGAGAGGATAAGTTTATAACATGATATAAAACTCAAAAAAGTTGATTTTACATGATATTGCCCCTTTAAATTTTTTTTGATTAACGTTGGATTAATGGTTCAGCAGCAACTAAGCTAATGTTAGCAGTGCAGCAGCTAAGCTAGCGTAACGGCTAGTTGCTGAAGTTAACTTTTATAGAAAACGGTTATTTTTGCACCGYTTTAATTGTAATTATTCATTTAACTCTTGTTTATTTTTCCCTTTTATTCATTTCAGCTTTTGAGTAAGGCATTAAGTAAATAAAATAAGATTATTTACTTAGCATATTTTTCTGATGAGAAAAAAAATAGAAACATAAAAGCTTATTGGTGTGTTTGAATGGAGAAAATAGTTGTTTTGTAATATAATTTTGAGAACYAACATCTCATTTTCTACTTAAAAGTAAAACTTTTGTTCAAGCTCAAATTTTCTGAACTGTACTCCTACAATGCCCGTTGTGCACATTTTGTGTCTCAGATAACCTGAGGACCCTTTTCTGCAAGTATTTGAAGATGTCATCGCTGCTGAGGACAAACGTTCATAAAACTACATCAGGAAGTTGTGCTTCACCGAGTCAACCTGAGAGCATCAACTTACTGAAAGGAAGACGCCAGATATCTGCTGAATGATGGGTGTGGAAGTCATWAAGAACTTTACTTTTACTCAGTGTGGACAGACAGGTGGGTTATGGAAGCCCATTTCCGCCACCCTGATAAAAAAATAAAACTTGTATCTCATAATTATGACTTGGCTATCTCATGATTATGACTTAGCTATCTCATAATTATGATTTAGCAATCTCATAATTATGAGATATTTCACAATTATGAGATACTATATCATAATTATGAGAGAGTATCTCATAATTATGATATAGCTAAGTCATAATTATGAGATAGCTAGCTAAGCCATAATTATGAGATACTATATCATAATTATGAGAGAGTATCTCATAATTATGATATAGCTAAGTCATAACGATGAAATAGCTAGGTCATAATTATGAGATACTATCTCATAATTATGACTTAGCTATCTCATAATTATGACTTAGCTATATCATAATTATG